TGGGAAACTCCATAGCCAAGTTGTTGACGTTTAAATTGAATTCATTTGGGTGGCTCCAGGGGGACTCATTAATTAATCTAAACAACTAATGGGGATTGGTTCTGACTTTTGATGAAGATTATTTACAGAGACAATTTGCAGTGAATAAAGAGTCACAGTAGGCAAATGTTTAATTGAATTTAAAAAAAAAAAAAAAAGGACAGCTCATTGTGTTCAATATCAAGGATGCATCTTGTGAGTAAGCTTTGAAATACCAAGGAAGGGGCGATTGCTTCAAGCTTCCTCACCGCACGCTAATAACAAAGAGAATGGGTAATTACATTTGCCTGGGTAATTTGCAGCTTGTAAGAGGACAACAGGTCTGTCTGGCTTACACTACACAGCATATTTCCTGATGCAATCTTTCTGTGCTACAAAGAGCAAGTTGCTTCACTCACTTTTACTTACATACCTGAAAATGGGATTCTCCAGCCAATCCTCAGCTGGGAAGACAGAGCCAAGTCCTCTCTCAGTTACTTTTCCAAAACTCAGGTCAACTGCAATGAGCTCAGCAGAGCTGCTTTAATTCACAACAGCTTAATTTATAACATCCCGTCTTCCTTTACTCTTTGATTATGTTGACTCTCAGATCGGTTGTTTTCACCTGACTGCACCATGAGCCCTGCACACGCTAACATCTAGTTGTGTGGTTAGTTTTCAGAAAGCCACAGTAGCAGAACAGCACCTACTTCCCTATACATCTCTACTCATTAAAGCAAAGCTTGTAGCAAAGCTTGTAGCTTATTTCGCCGTTATTAACATGATCAGCATTTCACCTTGACGTTTCTAGCAACACCAGAGGTTATCACCAAAGTAAGGAAACTGCCTGCACCAAGTGTGGTTCACCCATGCGTTTGCAGGGAAACGTAGCTCCTGCCCAACAACCCCAGCTCCTGAGGGCAAACACACCTTTAAACACCTATGATTTCAAGTGCAAATTCTTCAAGAACAGTCATGTGTTTAGCTTGAGGCGTGTTTCTTACAGGCAAGCATCCCAGGGAAGCATGACAGACCAAGGAAGGAGAGGAGAGAGCAACAGCTGGAGACCCCAGGGCAGAGAGGCCAGTAGCAGGTTGGGGCCCTCTTGCCTGGTGCACCCTCTCCTGTATTACTTTTACTCTTGCTTAGCATTGGTTTTCCTTAACCTAAAACCAGGTTGACTTTAAATTTGAAAACACAGCATTGATGAAGGGAGGGAGAGATGGAGGACAGAAGCAGAACAGTTGTGGTATTTGTTTTTTCTCTCTAAGTGCTGCATGTCTACAGCCCAGCTATTAACCATGCAGAGGAGACATCGAAGTCTTATGGAGAAATCATCCAGCACCTTAAATGCTCGCTTAGGTGGGAAGCACATTAACTACCAAAGACGCCCAACAGAGACTGAAGCAGGATATGCAGTCTCTTCTCAGTAATGTGCCTCTTTTCAGAGGGGTGCAAGACTCAGATCTCTTGGTCTGCTTTTAAAGTTTTGTAACCCCCCCCCCCCCCTTGCTTTTTTTTTCAGGGAGGCTTGTTCATTCGGAACAGAGACCATATCTCACAGCGGGCACCTAGAAGCCTTTAAAAGGCAGCAGTCATTGATCGCTACTGATTTTATCACCCACACAAGTCAATCCAAATGTTTGATGTTTAACTAAACCACTCAGTGTCCAGCTCTGAAAACTAATTGCACATCAGCGAGATCATCATCACTTCACAGCCTTTGCCATTGGGGGTATGACAGGAATCCTGCTCCACGCTGGCAACACCCAGCTGGTTAAACAGTCTCTGGGGACAGTAATCAGGGAGCACCAGCAAGACAAAAATGCCGCAGTCTCACCTTGTGCCAGAGGCAACGCTGAACCCAAGCTGGGCCTATGATGTTGGGCAGGGGGTCTGCAAGGCAGAGCCATCGTCTTCCTCACAGGCTCTGGTCTGCACTTAGCAAGCTCAGCCAGAGCCTCAGACTGAGCTCATTCTCTTCTCTGATCTCTCTGTCTATGCAGGATTTGCATTTTATTTTCAATAATATCAAAACCTGTCTTGTCTGAAATGAAGAGGTTCCAAACTTCTTTTCTTTACAAGGCTGGACACATCCTGAATGCTAATTTAGGAGGCAATTGAGGGGGAGGGTACATTAAGAAAATGTACATAGTCATTAAGCCAGGGAGACTAAAGCGTCCTGCCTCGATCAGCACTGCTGGATACTGTCTAGAGCATTGCCAGCTGCTCTCAGATACCTATAGTGGAGCTCTTTTATGCAAACACCTCCAGTAGCAGCTTTTGTGGATCTGACAGAGAGAGTGGTTAAAAATTAGGCATTCACTGGGTATCCAGTGGAGAGATATTGTACGGCACATCCAAAGAGGAGACTCAGAACCTCAGAAAGAAAATTCTGAATTCTCTGAAGGCAAAAGGCTATTCAGGCAGGCAGGACAAATCCGAACGACAGATCAATTGGCATCATGAGTATTGCTAATGGCAGTTCTTCCTGTCTTCCCCAAGAAGGGATTTCAGCTCCCAGCAACATGAATTCACAGACAGAAGAGAGAAACATCCCAAAAGAAGTAAGTAACAGAGGCAGATTTTTACTGTAAATGCAAGCATGGAGAGAGTGTGGCAGTTTTCCATCAGTGTAGCTCCTAAGACTTCCTACAAAACTTCTGCTGCCTCTTTTTAATAATAATGCCACTTCACTTGCTCACACCTCTCTCAAGGTGGTGTGGCTGCCTAATGTATTTTATTTTCTCCAACATTGCTCTGTCACTGTTAAAAGCATCAGTTATTTGGGGAAACCTGAAATTGAGTGGATGAGTGAAGGAATTATTAGTGAGGGCACTGTCAGGAGGAAGGTTACCTCCTTCACCCTAAAGGGAGGCAGATAGTTCAGGCATAGATCCAGTCTTGGGCAAAATGAAGTTTCTGCCCACAGAAGTATGCATGGGGCCCCAGGGGCTGAATTTACCATGAAAGGCATGGCGGGTCCATCACCGGCACAGCAAGGTACGCTTTAGGAGCTCCTTCCAGCCCTGTGCATCTACAGTTTAATAAAACCAAGCGTGCACTGCAATGCCCAGAAGGTTTGAGAACTCTGAAGCACACTGCTGACTGCTTGCATAGAGCCTCCGAGTCTCTCCTTCCCACTTTGCATGGCTGCCCTCCTTCTCAGGGAGGGCACCCTCCAGTTTCACTGAGAGGCCCTGTGAACTGAGGTTTCCCCTCATGTTAATAAGATGGAGAACTGTAGCTTTCGGTAATTCTTACCTCTGAAAGTCTCTCTTAAATGTATGACCATTTTTCTGCTTGGAACAACCAACTCAATCTACCAGCCTGCAGAAGTGGTACACTTCACAAAATAACCCTAACGAGAGATGCTGAGGTTTTACATTCAGGAATATAGACACAAGAGCTTCACTGAAAAACTTCTTAAAGGGCCTTAGGATGAGAAAACAGTCCTTCAACAGCACAGGCTCACCTCAGCTCTGCCTCTAGACAAAAGCAACGTTAGTAGTCATGAAACCATCATTTTTTGCTTGCAGCAACAGACCAGACAGCTTGACTCAATCCATGATAGCAAGGGCAGTGAATGGCAGAGTAATCACCTACCCGGTGGAGGCTGCTCACTATAGATGGGCCCTGTAACTAGCACAAAGGAAACCTTATCTGAGCAATTCTTATCCAATCCTAGGTTATTGGGTCAGGCCTTACTTCAGCAAGGATTTCTGCTGTTCAGAGCTTTCTCTTTTTACATGCCTTGTTGCTGCAGAGAACACCAGATGCTCCTGCTACGTGGCTATTGCTTAGGGATGGCCTTCAAATATTTTGCTTTATTTTTCTACTTCATCTGTTATCACATCTAAATAGCATATCCGAACTTCACTAACTCCTGTGGATTTTAGTATCAGCCAACCATCAAAATGTCTCCCAATTGTTCCTGTTCAGGTCAGGAACCAAACAGTCAAGCTGGAGAGCTGGCAGATCTGGAATTGCTATTTAGGCTACCACAAATTACATATCCTGAAGGGAAAGGACAGTCTATCATCTAACCCATATTATATATATTTAATATATTCACAGTATATACACACACACACACTTTTTTTTAAAGGAGACTCTCACCCCTTGGTACTATGAAAACCACCACTAAGGCAGCCTATTTTAATTGAAGGCTGGTCAACCACTAGTGCATCTGTACAAACAAACTTTGCAAGAACAGCAAAAGGGCCTTCTAGGGAAGCAGAGTTAATTATTCCTGCTAATTTTAAATCTAGAGGTGGGATGATTGAAACTGGGACACAAATGCTTTTTTTTTTCTCCCTCTCTTATTTCTCATTTACACTCTTCTGTTGCAAATATTTTGTCAGTGCTTGGATTAAAATGCATCTTTTCACATCCTACATGCAAATGGAATACAAACGATGAAAATGGAACATTCAAACAAATATTTGCAGCAGGGTTTGTTTGTTTTTAAACACTTTTCTGCTCCAGAAGGAATCCACAGACCACACACAGTTTCATAAAATACTACTACTTTGTTCCCTCCAAAAAAGGAGCAGCAAAACCCTAGGCTACTAAGAAATCCGGATAAGTGCAGAAAAATATCAGGCGGATAGGTGAGATTTACCTATTTTGAGGATTAAACTCTCAGACTCAGGCATCAAAGACGCCTACATCCATTTTTATATCTTGCACCAAACTGCTATACAGAGAGTCTGTGAGAGACTAACTCTGAACCGGAGTTTCATGTAATCCCAAACTTGGGTTTAACATTTGGGATTGGTGCCAAAAACATCACTCCAGCCTCCTTACCTCTCTTTTGTAGTTCATGTAAGCAATGATAACAACCAGTTTCTTCAAACCAGTACGCGCATCTTTCACTTGTAACCCAGAAGATAGCAATTTTTTTCCCTCCTCCCCCTACAGTAAGCATCAAGAATCAGATTCATGATTTAGTTTTTGTTAAACAAAGCTAGGAGACTGACCTTCTGTCTCTCACCAAGATCTTGATTGTCTTTGGTTTTAAATTCACAGGCAGAAGCTTCCATATCCTGGGGGGGGGAGGAAAAAAATACATATATTTTGAGTTTGGGTTATTCTCAAATTTTCTACCCATCTTTACAGTAAGAGTGTTTACACAGCACAGCAAAATGGCTTGAGCTCTGTGTTCAATGTTTCTAATCGCTCCAGTGTGGGACAAACCAGAAATGAAGAAAAAAAGTTTCCAGTTCCTCAGCACCAATAGACACACAGTAAAAGAGAGTCTATTATTTGAGAGAAAGTTATTGGAAATAAGAAAATGCCTAAAAAATATTTTCCTGTCCAATTACCCCCTTCAAAAAAAAAAAAAAAACCCTGAAAATTTAGAGATACGTCATTGCAAGAATAGGGACAACTTAGGGGGAAAACTGTCAGATTCTGAAACTTCATCAAAACTGGAGAGACCTATAGCAGCTGGGAACACTCAGTGGTTCTGCAGCACCTCTTCCCCCCAGGCTTTCACCTCACCTTATCCTCTGCCTCCTTTGCCTCTTCCTCCCAAGAGGAGTTCCTGCTGTCTCCGTTTTTGGGAGCAGCAAGCAGCACTAGAGCATGTAGTCACCCTAGGAGGGCACCCGGCTCCAAGGCAGAGCCTGGGGATGGGCTCACAGCTGCCCGCCAGCCTGCACCCGCACCCAGGGCATTTCCCCGCTCTGAAATCCTCCTAGTGCCAGGGGAAGTCAGAAGGTGACAGCAGGAAGGCTCCAGAAAAGGCAAAGGGAGTTAAGTTTGCTATGCCAACAACATCTCCGTGAAGTGTTCTCTGGGTAGAGAGCCAGTATAGCGCTAAAAAACACCGAGCTTTACGTTGTTACCTAGAGCATGAAATAGCATCCCCACTGAGAACTGCAGGCTCGTAAAGTATAACCGAGAGTCGTGAAGGGGATTTCCAAAGGTACCCAAATGCCTTTCAGTAAGGCTGAACTCCTAAATTATTGAGGCACTTTTGAAAAATCCCACTCCATAGAAATAAATCCACAAGATATCAGTATCCGTGTTAGTCCTTGCGGACATTGCGGTTAGGGAATAAGCTTCCTAACAAAATACCAGCTGGTAAATTATTTTGTGAAACGCTGATGCCTGTGGATAATTTCAGAAGGGCGGCCAGGTTTTCCTCACTCAATTCTTCATTTTGCCTTTGAAAATATCAACAAGCATGCTCCGGAGTCAGCTTATCTTTTGTAAGATTTGTGTAGCGCTCATATTGGTTGGACGCAGAAAGGAAAACTGCTAGGAGAACACAAGGCAGGTTTTCAAAAATAACACAGGTCTGGTGAGAAGTAGTTTCTCCTGGGTGCACGTATTTCCCTAGTGCTGGTACTGCTACTTGCGGATGGACATCTATTTTGCAGCCAGTCAGTACAGATAGCACAAGGCACCCGCCCGGGCTCAGGATTTGTGCAAAGGATTCCCTTCTGCTCCCCTGGCAAATAAATAATGACTGAAGATATCCACTGACTGTTTATATTTGGAAGACTTAACAACAGGAGAGTTGTAATATGTGAAATGAGACAACTTAAATACCAACTTAATACACAAGCAACAAAAACTCTGAATTAGATGCTGGGCTGGGAGAGACAGGACTGGCTGAGGTCTTGCTCTGCTCTAATCTAGGAAATCCAGACCAGAAAGACCCATTTCACGTACAGGCTGGCTTGAACCTTGCAGCACAGCTGACTGCACACAGGAACTAGTAAAATCAGGTCTGTGCTTACGTTGTTTAGTAACGAAATTAGCATATGCTCCCTTTTCAGCCTCCAGTGCTGAATCACCCAGAGCAGCAGATTAAGGGAAGGAGAACATGCAAAGTGAAAAGTCATCAACGTTTGTTTGTTGAGAAGACAATTGAAAGATGAGAAGGCAAAATTAGAAAGAAGCAGCCCTAAAAGAGAAAGTGTACCAAGACAAATGCCCATTGTCTAGTACAATGGTCTACTATTTTCTTAGCAACACACATCGCTTGGATTAATTTTCTGAAAGAAAACAGGCTGTCTCAACAGCAGCCTGATAGTCTCAACAATTCACTTCACAATTACTCACTAAACTACCTTGATTTAATTACTGAAGAAGAATTTCACCACTACTGATAACTACTTAATTAAAAACACAACTTTCAAGCAATAAGAGAGTCACATTATATTGTATGTGAGATAGATTTCTTGCCAAAAACACATGCAGTTCATTTTAACTGGCTTAATGCACCAATATATTTAGCGGTCCAAGAACTTTAGGAATGGCTAGAGCAATAGCAATCATCCAGGGGCTGCAAACAATGCTCAGAAGCTTTTTGTCCTTTGCATTCCATGCAATTTCAGTAAAATCAAATTATGAGAAGCATCACTACAGCAGAACTAGAGCCTAGGCAAACTTTGCATTAAGGGAGGTCAGAAGCCAAGGGACCTAGAAGAGCTCTTACCTGCTGACACCCCTGCTTCACTTTTCCTGCACACCAAGACTCCTGCCTGCTCCTTCTTCTGCCTACTTCCCCCTCCACTAGTGCAAGAGGCCCACAGGTGTAGGCAAGACACCCTTCCTGCAGCTGCCATTCATAATCCCCCTCCCACCCCACCAACCAAGCCACAGCTGCCAGCCCAGGAGAACCCAGCCCAGGTTCAGCTGGTGCAAATCAAGGCAATCACAGCCCTCACCTCACCTGCTCCCCTCAGCCGGGAGCTGGCCTTCATCTTTAGCATGGCCCCATTACAGGCCAAACAGGGAAACTTTCCCTTGTTCTGCAGAAGGGTCCTTAGCCCCTGACAGTTCCCTGCACTTTGATGTTTGGCCCAAAGCAGTGCAAAGCCATGAATTGGGAGGTGGTACTTAAAATTACGAATTTGGCTAAGAGTAAGTGGTCCATGCTCACCAGCTGCCCTACCTGGATCCCAGTCCTGAGAGCCTCTGGCTCTGCCCTCGCTGTAGACCAGCGACACCAAAAAAAAGTTCCTCTGATCCTTGCAAGAGTCAAGACCAGCCTTTGGTAACTTGTTTTCTTAACTTGTGGCTGGGGGGGGGGGGGGGGGGTGGGGGGGGGTGTTGTGGATTAATTAGCCCCATAGCTGCCCTGATATAGATGGCGACAGTCTTTTGGGGGAATAAGAGTTGTTAGATGTCTATTGTGAGACAGACCAGATGCAAACAGGGGTAACTGCAGACACTAGCATGATTCACATAGTGCTTTCTGAAAGCACTAGATAGATTTAAACTGTGCCAAGTGATGTAGTAAAGGCTCCCAAATTACTAGCATGCCATTTCTTATTTAGTTATTCAAAACACCTCTCCGTCCCCTTAAGAAGGATGTACTAACTCCTTTAGTTTTAATGCATTTTCAAAACAGCTAAAACTCTATATGTATTTATATATGAAAAAATTAAATGACTGCCTTCTTGAACATTATCGTCTCCGTTTATTGTATGCCCTCTCTCCCCTTCTCTTCCCAGAGAGACCAACCATCACATGAAAATGCTTTTCATCATCTGCAAAATTTGATGCCCAAAATAGCCCCATGGTTGCCCTAGCAACTAGCATTTATTCCCCCTCCCCCCAACTC